CCTTTTGTCCTCTGTTGTTTTGGAGGACTGTGTTTCACAGTTTTTGTAAGCTGCAAGGGGGGGGGGGTGTTCCATGACCTCTCGGTTGGTTCATGGCAGGGCTCGGAACTCGTTAATTCGTGGTAGGGCTTTGGTGTAGTATCAGCGTTGGTGTGTTTCTCGGAGCTGCCTCTGTCTAGTCGGCATGATGTTTGCTCGTCATTGACTTCTCGGGGTTTGTGTCGGCTCTTTCGTGGGTCGCCCCATTGATGAAGCAATGATGGGTAGGCTGGCTCTTAATGCCCGTGCTTGGTCCCACGATTCTTGGGCTTTTCGGGTCATCTCTTCTGTCTTTGGTGGCGTTGGGCGAATCTTCCCCCCATTGGGAGAGGGGGGGCAGGCCTCCCCATCCCTCATTCCCCATCTCTCTTGTCTGGTCATCTTGGAGTGGGTTCGATTGGGCGTGGTCAAAAGGACTTCGTCTCTGAAGTGGGTTTCCCGCTTGTTTCCGGTTCCGAAACAGGACTGTGCGTATCTTCAGCTCATTCTGGACTTGTCCCGTCTGAACCGTTTAATTCCTTGCCCCTTCTTTCGGATGACCACATTGTCCCAGGTCAGGCTTCTCAAGCTGGGCGCTTGGATAATTTCCCTGGACCTCAAGGATTCATATTGGCATGTTCCTATTCATCTGGGGTTCAGGCATTGGTTGGCTATTGGGGGTGGGGCGACAGGCTTTCCACTTTCCTTGCCTTCCCTTTGGCTTAAATCTGGCACTCGCGTTTTCACGCTCTTAACTCAGATCGTGGTCGTGATCTGCGTCTGCTAGGTCTGCTACACCCCCCAACTACACAGAAACTACGACACTTCCCAGTACCACTTCCAAAATTAGACAAACCATTGCCAAACCATTAGGTGGAGAGGGGAATAACTACCAAAACCCTCCAGTAGTGACACAATATGGAAAATCATTCATGTTTGCAAACATACAAGGCCTAAAATCAAATTCAAGAAATAAAGTTAAGTTCATAAATGACCTCCTAATAGTCAAACTCAGTATTTGGGGCGTTCACGGAAACTCATACGAAAGATTACTTGGATAGCGAAATCTGGATTCCAAATTATAATTTATATAGATGTGATAGAGAAACTAGGTCAAACGCAGGAGTAGGTCTGTATATTAAAGAGGACCTGGTATGCACAGAGCTAATAAACTCAACTAATGAGGTGGTAGAGGTACTTGGAATTAAGGTAGAAAAAATAAACCTAATTATTATCCTAATATATAAACCGCCAGATACAACGGTTGATGAATTCACAGAGCAGAGGCACAAAATAGAGAACATCCTTGATAACCTAGCAAATCCAGCACCAGATATTATCTTCCTTGGAGATTTCAATTTACCAAGTCTAAGATGGAGAATGGCAAACAAAAATATCACAGCAGGGAACAACCCGGGAAATAATCAACGCAGGTCAGAGAACTTTTGAGATTCTGTGACAAATTCTCGCTCAATCAACAGATTACAGAACCAACTAGGAACGAAAACACACTAGACTTGTTATTCACAAACAATGATGAACTAATCAAAGACATTACAATCTCAGATACTACATACTCAGACCATAAGCTCATTGAAGCGCAAACTAACATAAATAACGGTAGTAGGTCCAAGAGACCCAACAAGCGAGAAGAGGTCTTCAATCGGTTAAATTTCAACGATAAGATTGACGGGGGAAAAAATAAGTATAGACCTTGCAAACATTCAATGAGAGATGGTCTTATCGACAAAACTCCCACACAGGGAATAGATCAACTGACAGCTGAAGCATACAAGGTCTGCTTGAAGCACATGCCTGTGATGAGGGGTATGAAAGAGGACCACTCTAGAAAGAGAACGCAGACAACTGTACAGTTGAAGGAAATAAATAATGGAGATGCTTAGGCAGACACGACTATTGTAAGATAGGAAAATAAACCTAAACAGGGAAATTGAAGAAATAGAGCAAATGTTGAAGCAATCATACGAGTCTAAGGAAATGGAATTGGAACAGAAAACTATACAAGAGATAAAGAAAAAGAAAAAATATTTTTCACATATGCAAAATCAAAATCAAAAACCTCCACCAGTATTGGACCTTTAATTACAACAGAAGGTATGTACACAGACGACAACAAAGAAATTTTTGAAATTCTAAGAAGCCAGTATGAGGCTATGTTTAGAACACCAGTGAACAACATGAAAGCTGAAGATCCAGACAATTTCTTTATGAATGACATCCAAGCTGCAGATAATATAACGGATTTTAACTTAAACTCAGAAGACTTTGAAAGAGAAAGTGACAACATGCCCAGGCACTCAGCTCCTTGGCCTGACTTGTGGAATTCAGTATTCACATAGAAATGTTAAGAACATATACAGCACGCATAGATGAGATAAAGCACCTAACTAATTGGGATCGTCTCAAAGCTCTCCAAATGTACTCACTAGAAAGAAGAGAGAGAGAGAGAGAGATATCAAATAATATACACATGGAAAGTACTGGAGGGTCAGGTCCCAAATCTATACAGTAAAATAAAAACGTACTGGAGTGAACGATATCTTAAGAAAATGCAGAATAGAACCAGTGAAGAGCAGGGGTGCCATAGGCACAATCAGAGAACACTGTATAAACATCAGAGGTTCACAGTTGTTCAACATCCTCCCAGCAAGTGTAAGAATATTGCCGGAACAACCGTGGACATCAAGAGAAAATTAGATAATTTTCTCCAAGGAGTGCTGGACCAACCGGGCTGTGGTGGATATGTGGGCCTGCAGGCCACTCAAAGCAACAGCCTAGTGGACCAAGCTCTCACAAGTCGAGCCTGGCCTCGGGCTGGGCTTGCTTGGGGAGTAGAACAACTCCCAGAACCCCATCAAGCAGGTCTTCAAATTCTAGCCTACCTCGACAACTGGTTGGGCTCCCAGCCGGTCTTTATGTTTGTTAGCCAGGGATTTGTCGGGGTCGATGCCTTCTGGCGGGACTGGTCGAGGTGGGGTTATCTGTACCTCTTCTCCTCCCGGTTCTGCTGTTGCTCCAAGTTCTAACTCGCTTGGAGACTTACAAGGGAGAGTAGTCCAGTTGGCCCCTTGGTGGCCAGCCCAGCCTTGGTTTCAGGCACTGCTTGCTCAGTGTGCGAGCCTGGGGTTTTCCCGCGGCTCTGCCTCTTTTAGCTCTTTCTTCTCCTCGGGTTGTTGTGGCCCCTTCAGTTCAAGATTGTTTTGTGAAGGCTCTTTTTTTTTTTCCTGTTGGCATTGGCCTCTGGGGGTCAGCTTGGGGAGCTTCATGCTCCCCTCCTGCGCAGAGGTTTCTGCTCTTTTGGTCTTGGTGGTAGGTTTGTTCGTTTGCAGTCGTCTCCTTTTCTGGCGAAGAATGAGCCTGCTGCTTTCTGGAAGGGTCCTTGGGTTGTTGATGCTTGATTGGTTCCGTCGGGGGTGCATCATGTGCTGTGCACGGTTGCGAATCTTCGCTGTTACCTGCACGCCACGGCCTCAGTGGCCGAGGACGCACTTTGGGTTGACTCGGTTTCCCTTCTATCCTGTTCCAGGGTTCAGATCTTCCAGGTCGTCCACAGGCTTATTCGGTCAAGCCAGCCTGCGGCCTATCCTTGTGCTCATGACATTCATAAGTTTGCTGCATCGGCTGCCATTTTTGGTAACATGTCTTTGGCAAACATTCGGGCACGGGGTGTTTGGAGATGGAACAGGGTCCTGGCCACTCGCTGTCTAGTCAATGTACCTGGCCCTAGTCGGGCGTGTGTCGCATTGGGTCGGCGGTTGCAGCGAGTTGTCTCGACTTCGAGTTGAGGAGCAAGTGGTGACCGCCTCCTGTATAAGTCCCTCTAGTTTTTATCTTTGGTGAAGTAGCTCTAGGGAGCCGAAGGGGCTCACCCCAGAAAACCAGCTTTAAATGTAATGAAACGCCATTTTCTGGGTGAGACCCGGAGGCTTCCCGGCATCCCTTCATCCCTCCCTCCCTCTGGTCGGCAGTTTTTGCGAGGTTTGACATCCAGCCTCAGAACTAGGGTGTGGATAGCCAGCGCGGGAATCTGGAGCTTCCCCTTCCCGATCCCGGGGGAAGTGGGAGCTGCTCAGACAGCGGCACGGTGATGGTTGTGTTATCATGCTCGTTTGCTCATTTTTCCATTTGAGGAAGTTCTGTCTAACAGTTTGGCTTTCAGTAGCAATATTTTCACCTGAATAGGGGTTTGTTTTGGGAGTGCCTACCTTTCTGGGTGCCTGACCAGGTCAATGGCAGACATAGAATGCTTCCAAACACACTGGGGGTTATTATAGGCTATTGCTCTTCGTGCCTCTCTGAGGGGGCTAGGTTCTGGCTCGTGGTCCTCGGTAGACCTAAGAACTCCATTCGCCTTGACTGATGCCAGTGTCTAATACACTCATATCACTGTGGATAGCTCTGGGGAGCCTCAGGGTCTCGCCCAGAGAATGGCATTTCATTACATTCACTGCTGGTTTTTTAGGGGGCAAAGAAAATACCTTGCAAAATTGCGTGCTTTTGTCCTGCAGGTAACAATAATTTGCTAAGCCATATGTATAGGAGGACTGTATATTTGAGTTGATTTTTACTCTTAGATTGTTTTTAAATTGTAATATTTATTAAATGATACAGAATTAACCTTAATTTCGTAGTTTGATATCAAATGACGTGCTCCTGGGATGACTGAAACTTGCCTTGGTTGGAGAGAAAGAGAGACGAAAGGTTATTCGTAACAACTTAACTTGTTACGAGTTTGACTGGACTGAACAGGTTGATACTTGCTATTTAGATTTTATCCCATAAATTAGTGTAATATGATTTTAAATTCTTTAGTTATGTACTTAAACAAATTTAATTAGGACCTTTTAATAGGTTTCAATTCTGTGTGTAATTTGTTAAGCATTATCTTTTGAGCTTGTATCAAATATGTTTTGATGACATGCAAAATAATTGATGTTACTCCATATTGTGCTTGTTGTTAGTCTTCAGGAACGATTGTTGGGTTTAGCTAGTGGAGGGACACAGCGGTCGTCACAAGGAGAGGACCGTGGTGGACCCAGAGATAGAAGGGAAAGGTAAGGATGTACTAGTGACTTGATGTTGTCAGTGTTTATTTGAAAGAAATGTTATGTTTGCATTATGTAATACTGTAGATTCATTCATCATGCTTGTATCCTAAAGGCTTTTAGTTAAAACAGTTGGTATCTCTTAATCACATTTAGTAAGACATGCCCTCTCGCACATTCTTCTAAGCCTGGTTATCCTATGTCTTCAGTCAGTGTGTGTGTTAGTTACCTCTAGTTTAGGTATAATTCTTCCACTATGTTTTCCATGTCTCTTCCACAGTATTGTTTTTCTATAATAGTCGCTCTCCTTTTTTTTATACATACATATTTTCAGACATTGTATTTTTGTCACTTTAACTTAAGGTCTGTTATTCTTAAATTTAACCAGTCATGTCATAGAAAATTTTCTCAACTGCAAGCCTGTACAAGCATTGCTGACATTTCAAATATGTTTCACTGGCATACATGCAAGCACTCATTTGCTGGTTACCAGCAGTCAATTAGTACAAAACAATGTAAATAGAAGTAAGTCCATAAATAATTTGTGGGTGTTTGGAAAAGGAAAGGCCATCTATGGTAGACTGAGGAGCAAAAGAGGAAAAAGTCCTGGAAAAAATAGTAGGTTTAAAAGAGAGCCTTGCAACAAATGAAAATGTCAGGGATTTTAGGAGAATAGGCAAATATGGAAAAGATAAGATTCGCCCTTGAAGGGTGACATTTAATGAAGTGAAACAAATAACAAAACTGCTTAGGAATGTTAGGAAATTGCTAAATGATGAGGATTGGAAATTATGGTCATTAAGATAAGACATTTCTAAGGAAGAAAGAAAGAAGCTAAAACTGAACCTTGATGAAGCATAATGTCTTAATGAGGAGGAGGAACAAAGAAAGATATATTTTTCTACAAGGTGAAAGGGACCAGGAAGCCTGTAACACGGTACACAAGAGACTTAGATGATTATCATGCCTCTCAAGATGACCTAGATAAAAATGCGTGGAGCAACACTTAGGAGATTGAATTCGATGTGAATAAATGCCATGTTATGGAATGTGGAATAAAACAAAATAGACCAAACAGCCAACAAATTATGTGGAAAGACATTAACAACATTGACAAAGAATAAGGACTAAGGTTGGTTCTGAATAGTAAACTGTTGGTGGAAGGCCACATAAAGGACAATGTGTGAGGAGCATGTACTACACTTAACAATTTCAGAATCACTTTTAAGTACATTGATGGTGAAATATTAAAGAAACTGTAAATGACTTTTGAGAGACCGAAATTGGAATATGCAGCGGTTGTAATGTGCCCATATCTCAAGAAGCACCTCAATAAACTGGAAAAGGAGCAAAGACTTGCTATAAAATGACTTCTGGGATTGAAAAATGAGCTATAAGGAGAGGCTTGAGATGTTGAATATGCCAAAACTAGAAGATGGAGGCAAAAGGATCATTACATACAAAATAGTAACCGGAATTTGCAAAATTGTCATAGGAATGCTTGAAGCCTGCAGCTTCAGAACAATGGGTCATAGATTCAAATTATGGAAACAAAGGTGCCAGAAAAAGTTCTAGCTTGCAAACAAGTGGTAGATGGTTATAACAAGTGGAGAAGGCTGTGGAGGGCAGAATGCCAGTAGTTTCCAAGTGTCATATGACAGAGTACTGAGAAGGCGGTACACCACAAGCATAGCTCTCATCCGTTAACTGCACCTAGGTAATTGCAGAAATAAACCAACTGCACCTAGGTAATTGCAGAAATAAACCAACTGCACCTAGGTAATTGCAGAAATAAACCAACTGCACCTAGGTAATTGCAGAAATAAACCAACTGCACCTAGGTAATTGCAGAAATAAACCAACTGCACCTAGGTAATTGCAGAAATAAACCAACTGCACCTAGGTAATTGCAGAAATATACCAACAACCTATGAGAGGAAGGGAGAGTGAAGGGCAAAGGAGGAGCGAACATGTTGCAAAAAAAATGTGTATACTAACACAGATGGGGTGAGGTAAAGAAGTTCTGGAGTTAAATGATATAATACAACTTCAGATGTCAGATATTGTTGCAGTAGTAGAGACGAAATGAAGATAGTTTTAAATGAAGGTAGTATTCCCAAGGGGGCTATGTTATTTGGAGACATAACAGAAAACAAAAATGTGGAGGCATTGCTATCTTTCTTAAGGCTTAATACTTGACAACTCACGAGAAGTCGTCATAATGGCACTGGAGATATGCAATCAGGATGGTAAACTGATAATCATTGCTGTCTACAGTCAACCAAGAAGCAACACATGAATTAAGGATGAGCTAAATGACAAAAGGAAGGCCGTACAGTGATCATAAGAGATTATAATTGGAACCTAAATAAATAGCCTACGAAGCAAGAACATTGATCTTTTGGACCAGCTGATCGTCAACTTCATTCTAAAGACTTTCTTGGAAGCAGGCTACAAGACCGAGGTGAAATGCTCCATCTATGCTGGATTTGATATGTACCAGAAAAGAAGATATGTTTGACATTTAGTATCTTCCTCCATTGGGCAAGAGTGATTGTTCTTTTGGAAATTAAATATGCAATGTGTTATAATCTTGAAGAGAATGAGGAAAATAAAGCTGTTGGAAAAACTTGATTTTAAGATAAGAAATTATGGGGAACTTAGCAAGTTGTTTAATGAATTTGATGGGAAAATGTTGATAGGCAATGAAGTAAATAAAGCATTCCAAAATTTTGAGAGGTATGATGAAGGCACAATTTTTTTTATAGATTCAGGGATGCACAATCAGAAAACAGGATTGGTTTAATGGAAATTGAGAGGGCCAGAGAAAAACAAAAAAACAAAATAGAATCTGGGAAGAGGCCTAACCCTCAAACATATCAGGAGTACATGCAAACAACTTCACAGCATGGTCTAGAAAATGGCTACTAAAGTTTAATTCAGGTAAGTGTAAAGTAATGAAATTAGGTGAAGGGAGCAGAAGGCTGAACACAATGTACAATCTAGGGGCTAAATCCTGCAAGAGTCAAGTAGAGAGAAAAATCTGGGGGTTGATATCACACCGAACTTGCCCCAGAGGCCCACATCAAAAGGATGTCATCAGCGGCATATGCTAGATTGGCCAACATAAGAAGTGCCTTTAGAAACTTGTTTAAGGAATTATTCAGGACCTTGTATACCACTTATTTCAAACCAATCCTGGAGTATGCAGCTCCAGCCTGGAGTCCATACCACATTAAACACAAGATAAAGTTAGAGAAGATTCAGAGGTATGCCACCAGCCTAGTCCCAGAACTGAGAGGTATGAGCTACAAGGAAAGTCTAAGGGAGCTGAACCCTCACATACTTGGAAAACAGAAGAGTAAGGCGAGACATGATCACCTACAAAATTCTCAGGGGAATTGACAGGGTGGACAAAGGCAAACTCTTTAGCCCGGGTGGAATACGAACAAGGGGACACAGGTGAAAACATAGTACCCAAATGAGCCACAGAGATACTAAAAAGAATATTTTCAGTGTCTGAGTAGTTAACAAATGGAATGCATTAAGTAGTGATGTGGTGGAGGCTGACTCCATACACAGTTTCAAATGTAGGTTTGATAGAGCCCAGTAGACTTAAGAACCTGTACACCACTTGATTGACAGTCGAGAGGTGGGACCAAGGAACCAGAGCTCAACCTCTACAAGCACAACTAGGTGAATACACAGCTGGTTCTGGAAATGAGGAGACTCAGTTACCAGGACAGGCTTAGAAAGTTGAACTTAATATCATAGAAAATATAAAAGCCAAAAGAGACGGGTTTGCAACATTCAAGGTATTGAGAGGCATAGACAAAGTGGACAGGACAGTGCTCCTTTAGTGTGTGTGATCTATAGAAGTTGTAAAGGCTAACGCCACCCATAGCTTTGAATGTAGATGTAATAGAGAACCAGTAGAGTGGTCATAGTTGCATCAGACTACTAGTAGCTAAGAGTTGATACTGGAAAGAAGCACTAACCGCAGGCCAGTTTCTTAGTCTTCTCGTGTAAGGTACTGTAAAATCACACTAGTGAAACGCTTGATAATAACTTGCTTTGTTCCTAAGAAAGTAAGTATTCAGAGAAAGCAAGCTTAACAAATCAACAAAATTCTTATACAAAACTATTAAAATCATACAGGAGGGTAAGGGTATGATGGGTAACGTCCAATACCACCCCCCACAAATGGCTACCAGTAATATAAAAAAATGGCAGAGAAAGTTGATTTGATAAGAGGAACACTTAACTGTATAGAGTTGATGTCAATGTTTGCAACTGATAAGATTTGGAACAGCCAAGGACTTAAATGTTGCAGGATAATCTTGAGGACACCTTAAGACTAGTTAAAAGGGCTACTGAAATCAACCCCAGAAAATGCTAAATGATTAGACAGAAAATGTGAGAAACCAGACAAGAAAAGTATAGCCTGAAGGGGAGACAACAGTACCCTCAGATTCCGAGGGAAACTTTGATGTGGAATAACATTGTCATGTCAGAATTGCACAAAAGTGGGATAACAACAGTAGCATATGCAAAACTTGTAAACATAATACCCTTTCTGTGGAGAGCCCCTTCAGCTCCCCAGAGCTATACCGTGCTGTTGTGTAAATATTAGACAGTGGCAACAGTCAATCGATGGAGTTCTAGGCAGCTGGGGACCACTAGCCAGAACCTCAAATCAAATTAAATATTTATTCAGGTAAAGTACATACATACGAGGTGAGATACAAAACAATGATAGATTTATAGATAGAGCTAATACATACAATGCCTAAAGCCACTATTACGCAAAGCGTTTCTGGCAGGAAAAACACTAAGACTAAAACTTGATACTAATTGAGATTAAAGTATAAATTGTGTTGAGAAAATAAAAAGAAATAAAGGGGGAATGTGGCAGAAAAAAATAGCAAATATACAATTTGGTCAACAAACAGCATTGTTTAAAATAGTAGACATGGGTTGACATTTAGGGGTGAGGTAGGTTACATGGA